CAAGTTTCCAAAGGAAACTCCATGTTCCCGGATTGTGTATATCTTGATTTCGACCTTCATTGATATCCAAAGTGATGACTTCAATCCCATTGATGGGATTCTTTCGCCATTCCTTCGCCCTTTCTCCAGCAAAAAGGTGGACTATAACCCCTTTTGAGGTGAGCAGCCTCCTTCTTTTGTGCCGGTTCCATGGTAAATCATGGTTCATTTGCGGATCTTCTTCATCTTGACCCCGCATGTAATTCCAAATTCTGTCCGGTGTTTCCGGAAATCGTGATCCCCACCACTTCTTGGTCTTCTCCGTGGGCTCTTCCAAGGTGAGCCGATGGTTGGTCCTCTTTTCCATTTCCATGTGCTCAATCTCAGTGATCAGAGCCAGAGCGTGGTCCTTTCGAACCACTGGACACCCAGACCTTAACCAACATTCTATGTTTCCCAGTCGTGGATGTTTCACAACACATCCTGCACGGGACCAAGTGATGGTGTATCCCAATTCCACCAAACCTCGAAGAGGTACAATTGGTTCCACCGGTCCCTCCGACAAGAGGGTTCCATTCACAGGATTTTGATAGAGCTGAGCAGCTCCATGTGCGAGTTCCACAGTGACCTGCACCGCGTTCTTGATCTCCTCGGTTGATCCCTGTCTCAAGGGGTGTGTCGCCCCACCATCCAATAAACCTGTTCCATCATCAAATTCAACTTCGAGATGATCCCCACCATGCCCCACCGATTTCAAGACCGGTCCATTGAGACCCTTCAAAAGGTTGGTCACTTCTCCCACAACCTTGTTGGCCTCCTCTGGTACAGGGGTTATAGTGACCGTGGACTCCTTCATCGGATTGATCTTCACGGTAGGTTCAGAATGTTCTTGAGCAGCACCTCCCTCTTTTCCAGGACCATTTTTCCTCTCTTGAGATCTTGAGCGGATTCTTGTGGTTTTGGCCACCTTTGGTTCCTCGGATCCACCTTGTGGACCTCGTGACTCACTTCGTTTTCCCGCCGGACAATCACGTCGGGAGTGTCCCCTTCCAGAACAGTTGAAACATCGGCCATCTTTGGAGTCCAGGACAGTGTGCGTGAATCGGCACCGGTCAGCATATTGGCATCCCTTATCTGTCAGCCAGTTGATGCACGCAGTCTTGTGGACCACATTAGCCGCGTTAATCGGCAGCTCGGGCTTTTCTCCCCTCCTTCCGGTGGAAGAACCTGCTGCGTCTTCTGGTTTTCCCTTTGAAGCGCCCTTTGGTGGGTTTCCAGATGAATCCGGCCCACTCATTGACTTCACCCCTACCACATTATTGGGTTTAGCCGCTGGGCCCTGTGTTATGTTCCCCGGTTGACGGAGAGCCATTTCACCAGCTTCAGCTTGAAGAAGTTCAGAAAACGTTCTGATCTCTTGCATTCCCGGCCGGAGATCTATGCCCAAATGCTGTCTCACCGAAGACAACCGGTAGGCAGCTTGAGCTCCCCCCAATCTGGCCAAGGCATCACTCATTTTTGCGACCACTCCGGCCAAAACCAGAGGATCGGGCAAAACCAATTGAAGTTCTTCGGCACGAACCACCCATCTTCTCCACTTCCGGATGGAGTTGACCATCTCTGCAGCATTATTAGATGGACATTTCCAGTCCACCAACATTTGCAGCAGGGCAGTTCTTTCCACTTGTCCCCCAGGTTGGAAGACGGTGTACAGCTTGAACATGACTTGACCCGCTGACATGTGTCTGTTCGCCACAAGGTCCTCGTAGATGTCCTTGGGGACGGCTTGAAGCAGCATACCCACCACCCGTTTCTCTGTGCGAGGCCACCTACGGGCCATGTCAGGTATCACAGGCGCCATCCGGAGCCTCATGAGTGGATCCGCTTGCAACCAGTGGTGGTATGCTTGTTCAACAGCAGTCATCACTACTTCCCACCATTGCTCTGAGGTGTAGCTCACATCCCCAATCATCTGTTGGGCAACTGTCAGCCAGTCTCCAAAGTCCAAAGATGTTGCATTCCTGTCCAGCTTCGGCAATTCGACCGATCTTAGCGTTTCGCCTGGTACTTCTCCCCCTGCCTGAGGTCCTGCTTGGACTACAGCTTGTTGTTGTTGTGGCGGTGCAGCTTGTCCTGGATTTCCTTGATGACCACCTGGGAGACCGGGATTTCCCTGATGACCACCTGGCGGACCAGGTGCTTGTCCGGGATTTCCATACTGCCCTGGCGGTGGACCCCCTGGCCAACCATAACCACCCATAGGTCCGGTGTTTCCTCCCGGAAATGCAAAAACCCCTTGAGGTCGATGATCTTGTCCTGCAGGTGCTCCTCCAACATGGACTTGAGGATTATACCATTGATTAGGTTGGTCACCGATGAAAAAGTGTTTTGTGTTTTCCGTGGCTCCCATGCAAGGAACTCCCATCGGTGGTCTTGACGCCGCTCTCTGCGGCATACCTCCCGGTGGTATTCCAATTAGCCACCCTTGATTCATATACACATCCATCGGCCGAAAATCTTGTTCGACCTTGGGCGCAGGAGGAACATTCCACAACTGACCTCCCGCCTGCATTTGAAGATCTTGATCATGGTGATGTTGAACTCCTGGAACTGGTTGATCTTGCACATGTTGTACCTGGGGTGGAACACCTTGAGGTGGCCCCACAGGAAAAACCTGCTCGACATTCTTCAGCTCCGGCGAGGCGGTTTGATAAGACCCCCCACTTGACTGAGAGCCCTTGTGACCTCCTCCGGCTTCTCGGACCCGTTCCAGGGCACGTTTCTCTTCCCGCGTGGCTAACCAATTTTCTCGATCTTGTTGGATCTCGGTCTTGCCCCGTTGAAAGAATTCCATCATTTGCTGTTTCAACTCCTCATACTTTTCCTTCTCCCTCGCGTCCGCCTGATCAATCAGGTCTTGCGACACTATGGGATAAGTCAGCTCTTTCACTGGAGTTTGTGGACTGCTCATTAGAGCTTCCACTCGCTTGGCAGCACTCCATGGATTCGTTTCCTCTGCAGCCATGACCCCGGTTACAATCCCAGGATCCACAACCGCCGTTCCCCACTGAGGCACCATTCCCGTAGGTGGCACTCCAGCACACATGGATTGCTGGGACATCCCAGCTACTTGCGAACCCTGTGTTCCACCAGTTGCGGTATACACCACAGGTGCTCCCGCTGGCTGGTAGATCACAGGTGAGCCTGTTGGTGCCGCTGGCACCGATTGTTTGACGCGTGCATCTTCAGGAGACTCAACAGGTGAACGTCCCGGTCGCTCCAAAAGAGCAACGGTTTCCACAACAGCAGCCGCACCTCCACTCACTTCAGTTGAGCTTTGGTGTTTTCCACCCTGTCCTTCTTCTCGATTACCCACAACAGGTGGTTCACGAAATCCCTCAGACATCCGGGCAACTACTGGTATTTGTGTCATAGGCACTCCCGAAAGAGTTAGACTATTCACACCTGGGGTCAAACCAGACAACAGACCGCCACTCCCATTTCCTCGTACCACTTCAAGTCCAGGAGGTTCTTCAGGTGGTAAGGACACTGGTCTTGCGACTTCTTCCGCAACAGCCGGATTCTGGGCGATTCGTTCGCCCGCTCCAGCCCGGACCGCCGCAACCTGCACTAGGGCTCCACTTCCCCCAGCACCGGTCAGTGCCATCACACTTTCTCCAACTTCCCCTTCCATCAGTGATCTTCGGGTTGAGTCTGATGATCTTGTCCCTGTTCTTTCCCCATGTGCTTGTCCAGGTGCGTCCATCTCCTCCAGAAGCCGGTCCAGCATTTGGTCTGCCGTTTCCGCGCGTTCTTCTTTTCCATGTCCATGGGTCCCATGTTGTACTTCTTCAGCATGAGCAGCCGCTTGAACTTGGCGTTCTTGTCGACGACGCTGAGTGAAGTCGCTGCTCGACATTGCTTCAAGGCAGCGTTGGGGTTGGGCTCATAACCCACGGGTTTCAGACTATGACCGAGACCCTTCCCGGAGGTCCCCACCAAGAGGCAGATGCAAGTGCACTTTTTCACTCCAAGTTGGGCTCGGTAAATTGAGCCAGTCAGTTGATTGGCCCTTGAGCCAAATTGCAACAGTCGGAGGACGTCTCAACGACTGTGAAAACTTTAAAAAGACCTTAGTGGGGGTGCAGTGGTACTCTGTGCATGTTTCCCAAACCGCACGGATAATTTGACCAAGAAAAATTGGGACCATAAGGCCATAGCTGAATGAACCAACAAAATTGATGGCGAAACTAGCACACATGGGGATTTAACCAACAAAAAAAACGGCATGTATTCCACCAAAATATTGAAGAATATTGAAGATCAAAAAGGAAGCTAGCAATATCTAGCAAAATGATGCAAAATTGTCATACAGCTAATTGCGAGGACCCCAGAGGTTCTGAGTCACTCCCAAAAAAGAAGACTGCACAACGAGCAAGAAAGTCCCAGTGCCAATCTCAAGACTGATTGATGCGTAAGCCATCCAATCCAAGAATATGATATCGTCAACTAGGATCATCATCCAGCATCATCCTATTGTTCAGGATGGAGAATGAGGCATCCCTGAAAACTCACCCACCAGAAAAACTATAGGATCTGTAGGGGTCTTAATTTGGGGAATGTACCTCTAGGGAGAAAGTACTAATCAGTGGGACAAGGATCGATAAACATACATACCCTAATTTTACCAGAAATAGCTGGAAACCAGACATTCCCAATTTTAGTCTTGTGATGGCTTATAATTGGGTTTACCACATTATTTCAAGATTGGATACGCTCTGGAATTTTGCCATGACTATGGAATTTGTTTATTTGCAATTGGTTAATCACCGAACAATTTTCTAGAGCCACAAATTGCCAGGGAACATGAAATATTGGGAAATGCATCTAATATCCCAGTACCATTTTTAAGCGGCTTAAATCAATGATTACATCACTTGTTTCCTCAGAATGCTTCCCCCAAACAACTTCAGTTCTGTCCAACCCCCAATGGTATCCCTTGGGCTGCCCGGTGCCGGTGCCTGTGGTGCTTCCGCTGGTGCGACCTTAACCCTGGAAGAGCTGGCCTTGATGGACGCACCTGCGGATCGCCAGCGGTTTTTTCATGGTTTATCCACCATGGTAGAATTCCATCATTTTTCACATATCCAAATGGAACATGTTGAACATACTCTTCCATAATCAATATGTTTTTTTGGGGGGGGGAAGCGGAGTGATGATAAATGTGAGGGGTGCGAAGTAATTCATGTGCTGGGTTTGAACAGGTCTGAAAGAAATATTTGAGCAGGTTTCCCACCATTGACCTGCTTTGTCACCCAACAGTCACTGTTTTTGGTTAATTTCTAGGTGCTCTGGCCAGAACTCCCATGAAACGTGGCAAACCTCAGATACCCCACAAAGAAAAACTCGATCTGCTACTAGATCTCGCTAGATCTTAGTCTTAGCAGCGTAGTCTTAGTGCATTCCTCCATTGAGTTTGCTTCAAACTTAACCGATCAACCAAGCCAAGGTGAACTGAATTCTGCCCTCGCCATTGCCAACCCTTTGTTTCCATGTCGGCAACCGGGCCATCCCCGTGCAACCTGTACTGGAGGTGCTGAGCAGCGAGAGGTTCGTGAAGGTCCGGTTCAAGGGACGCTTCTGGAAGAGCGTCATGGGTTTCTTCAGCCTGCGACGCCACATGTTACCCCCACGGCCGGCCATTGAACGATCTCCCATGATCTAGGACCGCCACATTATAAGAAATCGTGGGGGCTGGCCGGTTGTCTGTAAGCTTTTAAAAATTCCAAATAAATAAAACAACGGTATTTGGTTTTCAGAACAAACGTGCCTCAAGTGTTTGGGCCATTTTGGCCAACTCAGTTCCGTTTCATGTTCTGGGATAAGCTGCTATAATCAATCCTAATCACGTGGTTGGGCATCTTTTGGTCTTACCCTGCACTTTTGCAAACACCCCCCAGCAAAGAAATCCCGGTGAAATTCATCTCTTCATGAATTTTGGGCGCCAAAATCCAAAATTGAAAGGCTGAATCATACATAATAGTGAAAAATTGGCAAGTTTTATGGCGCGCCTATCTACCCAGAGATACCTAGAGGTTATTGTGACATATTTTTTTAAAACTTCCGGAGGATGAGATGCCCAGAACCACCAGAAATCCACGCGCAATGCGCCTCCCTTTGGAGGAGTTCTTCAAAATTCCTCCAGTTGACGTCGAGGACGACCGGTGTGTCAGCTCCAAGGGATCGCCCTCCTGTGCAGCCGGACCCACTGGTATAAATGTGTCAGATATGTACCTGGAACGCGTCAGTTGCCTATTTTCATGTTCCACTTTGAGTTAGTGACCTTTTTTTGTGTGATTATGTTTTCCAGCTACATATCTAGACATTTAACCAACCCATGAACATGTATGTAAATATTTATATATATATATAATGTATACACATTGACATGACGTTGGCTTTGCAACCCCGTCCAAGTACTATTGAAGGCCCCCAAAAACCATGGCAGATGTAGGGGATAATTACTTTCTTCGAGTGATCCCCACCAACTGATACTCTATCTGTGACACATATTCTGACATTATATCTGGCATTCTATCTGACATATATTCTGACATTCTATCTGCATTCTTTCTGGCATATAAATTCTGAGATTCCATCTGGCATTCTGTTTGGCATTTTATCTGAATCTGATATATACATATATATATATATATGTATATATATTTATTTTTTTTTCCCCTAACGTTCTATCTGGCATTCTATCTGACATATATTTCCCTATATTATATTCTGACATTCTACCTGGCATTCTCTGTGGCATTCTATGCAACATCTGGCGCTCGCCGTTGAGGTCCGGCAGTGCCCACTGACCTCCGGTTCGGGTTCGGCAGTGCCCACTGAGCTGTGGCGGGCAAGAGGCAGGCCAGCTTTGATAAAAACTAGAGACCCTCATTTGGCAGGTGGTGAAAAACACATAATGGGGACTCGGGACCATAATATTTATAGATGATTTACCGCGTAGAAATTGTGATTTTCCATAGCTATGGTAAATTACCAGAGGGTATCTATGTATCTCTCTCTCTATATATATATATATAAAATAATAGATATAGACAGACAGAGAGAGAGAGATATATATATATATAGAAAGATAGAAAGATAGAAAGATAGAAAGATAGAAAAATAAAAAGATAGAAAGATAGAAAGATAGATAGGTAGATAGATAGATAGATAGGTAGATAGACAGGTAGATAGGTAGGTAGATAGGAAGATAGATAGGTAGATAGGTGGATAGATGACTAGGCAATCCACCATGTGGTCATAGATGACCCAGGTTTCCCACTGTTGGGCTTGCTGTACACATAACCCACATAACTCCACCACCAATCATCTGGCATAATAGCCGTTATCATGCGGCCATTTGGGGATGATTCCCGCAATCTAACTATCCAAATCATCAATCCATGGTGGATGTGGATTTGGATCTTAACCATCAATATGGATTCCCCAAAATCTAACTCTCCAAGACCTGGATGCTGAAAAATCTCCAGTATACCACCAGTATATCAGTTATTTTCATGTATGTTCCATGATGAATATCCCAATCCATGGTGGATTTTTCAATGGCCGAGTTGCATCCATATCTTGTAGCGTGCCGGCGCTATCGTAGGAGGTGGCCGAGTCCCACAAGCTCAGCGGCTTGCCAGGCGTGGGCGATCCTGGCGTGGGGCAGCACCCATGGGCTTTGTCTGAAACTGGGGTATACTTCGTTTAGCGGATTATGATCATTAACCAATGGATCTGAGGGTAGGGCTATTCTATTTTCAGTTTTTGTATGGCACTGTTACTTGGAGAAATCGGGAAATACAGAGAAAATGATGGTGAAATGTGGAATTATTGTTTTTATCACACACACACGTATACATATATTTCATTATAAATACATATGTATATATATATATATAAATAAATTGCAATTTTTGATGAGGAATGGGAAATGATAATGAAGTAGGAGAATGTACAACACTTTTTAAACGGCAAAATATAACGAACAACAACAAGTTTTTGGGTTACCCCATTTTCAGACAAACCCACGTCCAGTAATCAACCTAGCAACAGGAAATCCCCATCTGTTCATCGGCAAATCATCGCTTCAATTGACAAACAAAGGGCTTGGTTTATTGCCAGATTTGACCATATACAGCCATATACCCTGTACAACCCCTGGGCACCTTCCAAAGTGGCCTAGTGCAACCATTAATCTATGAATCTGTTTGTCTGAAAACAGGGGGGAAAAAATATGAAGGCTAATCATTATTTTCTCTTAGGGGCATCTCCCAGTAACCATACCCATTGAGTTAGCCTTGGTACCAAGGTTTGCCCAACATGGCCTCAAGACCTAGCCCAGGGCGTAACTGCCAAGCATCTGTCACCAGAGGCGGAACTTCGAGGTGACCCTAACCTGGCAACTTCATGGTCGTGAAGCTTTTGTATCTCCACCTGCATGTCACGGTGGAAGGGTCGGCTGAAGCAAGGCCGGCACTTTTAAGTGCCTTTTAAAGGTGGAACATTGCTTAGCAAAGGGATTAAAATGATTTGGTTGCAAACTCATGGCAGTCTCTACCAACAAGATGACACGGTTGGCGCGCTTCTGGCAAACAAAGAGTCAAACAATCATTCCAAAAAAAAACACCAGCTGACCAAACAACACCGGCTTGGATATAAAAAAATTGCTCAACAGAAACCATCCCCAATCTTTCCAAGAAAACACCCATCCTTCTCACTTTTCAGATCTTTTCAGAAAAGCCAACCCATACAACCCTGACCCCTTCGAAGCCTCTCACTTCAGGCCCCACCTTCATGTTTGTCAGGAGCCGTTCGAGACGATCCTGAAAAGCCGTCGTTCCCATCCTCCGAACCTGGCACGGTTTTTTCACGGCCCCGATTGATCCATGAAAAACGATCACAAAAAATGGATTGAATTTTCTACGCCATCATTTTAGCACGTTTTTTGCGCATTTCTATAGGTGAACCTGAAGTAACTCAGCGTCAAGGTGTATGCGTATACATAAGCACACACACACACACTTGAAAGACCGCATGTCGCCGTTGGTTTTAGAACTCTTCCGAGTAATGGGAAAATTCCCAGGAAGGCCTTATGTTGCCGTGATCCACATGGGTATACATGGGTGGTTTTTGGCTTGGCCACCTTGCCATGATCAGAGAAAATGACCTACTTCTTCGAAAAATTGAAAAATGTGAATTCTTCACTTCAGAACAGGTACGTGGATTCTGCGTTCAGAATCCACTTCAGGGACTTGTAACAGCCTCTTCGTTGGACTGCCACCTTGCTACAAGTCAGGCAGTCCCCCTGTTTGGAACATTGAATGAGAAAATCGCACAAATAAAAACGCAAAACGTGAACAGCCCTTAGGAACAGGGTTTGACTCACACACCAAGGCCGTATGTCGCCGAGACCATTTTTGACTTCACAGGAGTCCAATGGCATGGTATACTTCGGACGGAGAAAAACCCTGCTGTACATACAAGAGTGCAAGCTGACGTAAACTAGGTTCAATTGCTGAAGACGGGAACGAATATTTTCTAATCAGGTGAGCTCGGCTTTTCAAGCCGCTCAGCCTGAGCAGATAGACCCAGCTGATGCAATATCTCGAATTCGTTGTCGATTGGGGCATTGATAACATTGATATATCACAATTCTTTCGGCAATGGAAACTTTGAATCCCAGGAGCATGGAATCACTTACCTTTTCCAGCTCAACTGGGTGTCCTTAAAAAAAACGGGTCAGAATAAATGACGATTGGATCTGGATCTGACTTGGCAATGACAGAACCGAAAGCGGCAAAACGGAGGCAAAGTTCAATGGTGACTGAGAAGCGCCTCGAACGAATGTTGCCACGCTTGCTCCGCCATGGTGATGGCAAGGTTGGAAATGGTCGGGCTAATTTGACTCCCAATACCGGCTCCTCGGATTTGACGCCAAATACTTCCAAGTGCACTGAAATAATGACTGCTGAGGCTGGCCTTCACAATGATGAAGAGGCGGTCAACTTTGATGGACCTGACGTTGTAGGCTGATTTTCTGCAAGTGCCTGCAAACGTCGACTGTATGCTGACAAGTCTATATACTGGAATTGAGAGATCTCCTGGGTGACGGTCTTTCCATGCTACGATCAATGCCTGAACTGCATCATGCAAGAAGTCGGTCTCGCGGAACAGAGTTGAAAAAACCCTACCAAATCGTCATTCAAAAATTCCAAATGAACTTCTTCGGGAATCTCACGAAATGCCGAACGAATTGTGTTCCAAATTTGCGGAAAACTCTGTTGCCCCAGTTGTTGGGGCCAAACTTCACGGAGCATGGAGTCTAAACCGCGTGACACAGCTTTTAACGATGTGGACTGATAGCTCTGAAAATAGCTAATCAGAGTCCGACCTTTTTGCCAATCTTTTCCCGTTTCAAAAAGACAAATCCATACGGCAAGGTTGCTTTTTTGCGAAAGCCCCATGGATACGTTCTAACCAGGCAAGTAGGAAAAGCCTGTTGAATACAAACTTGCGCTTCATGAGGAGAAATGGGTAGTTGTTCAAAAAGTTCCGGATCGTTCCAGGTCCAGGTATTGCATGAGGGCAATTGAGGGCACCTTGAAAATATAGCCGAGGACAAAATAAGGTCAAACGAAATTGTTCATGATCACCATGATGAATTACACAGTCCTTTTGGAAGCCAATGTAAAAGGTGTTGAACAGCATGAAAAGAAAATCTGGGTAAGTTGTCAATGGGATCCAAATGAAGCTTCCATTCAGTGGTGATCTTCTGCATAAACGCGGAAGCCAATTGAGGTGGTAATCCATGATGTTTCAGCCAACGAGTCACCGCTTTTGAACATATGTTGAAATATTGTGACCGGCAAAGGAAATACGTAGAGTTGGTGTTGGCGTTGGCAAAGATGTGTAGCTTTGATGGCAAGTTGACGTCGTCCAAGTTGATGGTGACATGTCCTGTTTTTGTATGTGCTGCTTTGCAATGGATGGTACTACTGTACAGCAGCAAGGGAGATTTTGTATGTGAGACGTCTTCCATCTTCTCTCCCTTTTTGGATGTTGTGTAGAATTTCGCTCGACTTGGGGCAACCTTGTTCTCGGAGTCGATGAGTGGGTAAAAAGAGAGGAATGGCAGCATTTTTATGTTGTAAAATGAGCTGCCGAACCAAGTGTCAAGATTCGTTCGAAAATTGTCATGTGCCAAAAACGGAATGTGCAATGGTAAATTGCTTTTTGGAATTGTGGCGTTGCAAAAAGCAACGCTTTTCCAATCAAACTCTTGACTCTAGATCTACCGGGTTCTTCCATGTGAGTCGCCAGTCTGTACAAAGCATAATCTTCCAGGGTATGAAATTCCCCAGATCGAATTCGCTTGCATGCTTCAAAGCTCGTTCTTGTGAACAGGCTAATTTGGTACAAAATTCTCCAAGCTTGTTCTTGAAACTAATAAGGTGACGGCACCGATCCGAGAGAAAACAAGCGTCGTCGAACTCTTTGATACAACCTCGGGCTCGAAATAACAGGACCTTATAGCGATTTTTTCGTAGCTGCATCATCCAACCTTCAGGTTTGAGTTTGGGAAATTTTGATATGAAGGGATGATTCAAAGCAGGTTGCCAAGAACTAATTAACAAGTGTTCACGGACCCAGGCATTGTCGTAAGTCGTACGGTGTGCATGCTTGAAAAGCAATACACCACGTGTACGATTCAAAATCTGTCCTGGTGCTCCAGCAACGGATTGACAGTTCTGCATGAACTGCAAGGTTGCGCCGAATTGTTTTCAAATTTGCAAACCTGTTGAACTCACGTTTCACGGCTGAAATCGCAGTTGAACCAATATAAAAATGTCTGGGCTGCGTGTACCACCCCCGCTTCTGGTCAGATGGGTGAAACGGCATCTTGACATATACCACATATGAGGATTGAAAAAAAGGGTAAGTGTACATGTGTGGGGAGACGCCTGATTTCTTTAAACGGTTGCGCCATTGACGAGTAGTCAATGTGGGAGCTGAGTAACGTGCCAACAAAAGAACATGCAAAATGCTCAAGCTCCACATGGCTGGTCCCTTCGAAATGAAAGGAACATAATGCACAAAATGGGTCAAAGCTGAGCGCGGAATGTCAACAACAGAAAACAAAGCTTCGACATTCATGCTTTCATGATCACGAACTAATCAAGCGGTCAAACTAGCACCAATGGCAACAATTTGGTGCAAAGTGGATGGTGTCATTTTCAATGACAGCTGAAGTTCTGTTTTTGTGACACCGGAATCGTTCAAAATCTGTATGATCTTCATCGCAGGTTGCTGGGTCTCCGTCGGGAATGTTTGAAACCATTTTTTGATAGTAGCCGCCGAAAAGCGTCCAGGTTGGTACTGTTTAAGCACAGGAGAAGAAGCATCCAAAATTTCCGAAACAGAAAGCAACGAAACATCATCATCACCGTCAGAAATAAACTCTGGAGTTCTGCGGGCGCCTTCGGCAGCCTCTGGCAGCGAAGGTGCTGATGCCTCTTGAGGCGGAAACATCTTGGACAACTTCTGTTGAGTCGTCTCCTCCGTTTTTCTTTACGCTTTGGTGGTTGTTTCGGAGAAATTGTATGGCTTTGAGGTTGGTCAGAAAGACCTGCGGCTGCCAACTGATCTTGCGCTGCTTTGAGCTGCGCTTCCAAAGCTTGTACACGTCGAAGCGCTTGACCTTCGGTCTTCTGTGGCTGCAAAGCTTTCAGCTTCGTGACCACTTCATGAACTAACAGAGCAATAAACTCAACTGGTTGGTCATTTTTTGATGGAGCCGACGTTGTTGATGAGCTGGTCTGATGCAAATGATCTGCCATGCTGTCAAATTCTACTGCATTCACCCGCATGCTTTTCAACAGCTGAGCGGTAAACACGGATTCTGCCACCGATCGTCTGCACACCAAACCGACAAACTTGCCTGCACCCAAAGGGCGAAGACTGAATTCTTGAAGTCTATGACGACCAAGCTGGTGTACCGGAAGTTCAAGAGGATCAAGACCATGAATACCCTTTTTGCGGCTCCAATCAGTAGGTTGACTAGTTCGAAACTGTGACAATGGATACCCATGAACCGGAGTGGAATCATGATGGGTTTCACCTTGTTTCCATGACGACGGAAGGAGGTCCATACGAAGACCATTCCGACCGTGATGAATTTGGATAGCCCTTCCACGATGACCAGTTGTGAGCCATGTTGATGGGTCAAAACTAAGAGACAACTATGAGCACAAAATCTATGAAAGAAGATGGAGTCTGACGAGAAGAAGTGCAAGGTCCTCTTACTGAAACTTCGAGACATAAGACATGAGACGAATCAACACCTGAATGATACAAGTATCGAAATGGCCTTTCTTGCACTCGGAAAAAATGTGCAAGCGTCTTGTGGCAGTGATTCTGCTGGTGGAGTGGCGTTGCACTTCCACGCCAAGGCATTGATGTAATGCGTACGAGTTGAACATACCCAAAAATTTGCCCGCCAATGGTGACAAATACCTCCATGCCGAGTATGTTCAATACAAGGGGCTTCACCTCCTTCTTTAAAGTTTTTTCCGTCGCCCCATCCTAAACACAAGACCAAAATTCGAGCAGTGTTCTTGCCCGCTTGCCAACCTGAATTGAGTACTCGGGCTGTTTCCCATCGATCTTGTTGAAGGTCATAGGATTTCCTATACCCAATAGCAAAAAATGAACACGGGTCCGCTTGATGTAGTTTAGCGGGTCGGAGCTTTGCTTCCGTTAAAATCCCTCTGCGACCTCCTGGCGAGGTGGCGTGAACCAATTGTACATGTTCAATAGAATTACGTCCATCAGCGTTGAGGGCTCTACGTTGCTTTGGAGGAATATCATCTCCAAAACCGATTTGGGATTTGAATTCCGGGATGGGTAACACACTGAAATATTGTGTGGTTGAATCATCAGAGTGGATGTGTCCAAGTCGGATCAAATTCAAACACTTGCAACGGCCTAAGACGAGCTATATCTAACCGCGCGAGGCTCAAACTGCTGACCACCTACTTGATCTGCTCAAAGTCATAGGGTGGTTTGGATCTTGCTGACGCTCTGAAATCTGCTGCTTGAGTGGTGATAGCTCTAATTGGTCCTGTTGGCGATGGGAAAGCTGAATACGGTGTCGGAAGTGTTGAGTACAGTGACCAAACTCCAGTGAGCTCGTTGTGGTGCCATATCCCTGGGGCCCTGGGGGTCCAGACAAAGGAGGTTCAACCTGAAGATCTGGAGCTGGGTGGCTGCGTCGTCTAGGTAATGGCGATCTGCTCCGTGTCGTTGCTGATCCTGATTTTGGCCTGACTGCCATGAGGTCTGTAGGGAATTGTTGTCCTGATTGATCTGTGACCGTGGTTGTTGTTGGTGCGGGTGGTGATGCCGATGGTGGTGATGCAGGAGGTTGGGGGGAATGGACTGGTGGGCCTGGTAGAGGTGTAGCCGGGGGTGGGCTAGAGGTCAATGCGGTAGGTCATGGCGGTACCAGTGTTGCTGGACGTGGGGGAACGGGCAATGGTAGAGCTGATGGACGAGGTCGTACAGGAGCTGATGGACGAGGACGATGAAGCGTGTGTGCAGCTACTGGTGCTGGAACAACTTGATGATCCCTTGTTAATGTAATGGCTTTTGGTCTTGCTGATGCTTCTGGTACTGCCTGCGCTCTGCTTGGATTGAAGTCACCCGCAATGAGTTAATGTGGTATGACATGGCTCGACTTGAAAAAGCACTACTGAGTGAACAATGAAAAAACGAAATCATAATAATTCCAATTAACAGGTGGTTCAATCAGAGGCCAAAAAATGGCAATCAATACGCCCGGACTGTTCATGGGTGGCAAATCACCCGATGCTTTCAAATGCAACATGGGACCATTCACGTCACTTCAAAAGCAGGACTAGGTATTGCACCTGACACACAGAAGATGAACACACTTGCCCTGTTGCTGGAGCCTGACAGGGACAGACACAACTCACGGTAAGAGCATCAGAACCTGCGAGCAGGTCAACCAACTGGAGGACTTCACTAGCCTGGTAAAACCAGGATCACGAGCGGACCATGATGGAACCGCTGCCGAAACACACTTGAAAGACCGCATCGCATGTCGTCGTTGGTTTTAGAACTCTTCTGGGTAAGGGGAAAATTCCCAGGAAGGCCTTATGTTGCCGTGGTCCACATGGGTATACATGGGTGGTTTTTGGCTTGGCCACTTTGGCATGATAAGAGAAAATTCGAAAAATTGAAAAATGGGAATTCTTCACTTCAGAACAGGTACGTGGATTCTGCGTCCAGAATCCCTGTCAGTGACTTGTAACAGCCTCTTCGTTGGACTGCCACTGTTACAAGTCAGGCAGTCCCCCGGTTTGGAACATTGAATGAGAAAATCGTACAAAAAAAACGCAAACGTGCCCTTAGGAACAGGGTTTGACTCACACACACACACACATATATATATATATATATCAGCGCGTCTCTTCGTTTTTTCGTCATGATAACCTTGATGTACCCCATAAACATGGCTGATACTATGGTATGGTTTTGCATGGTATGGTATGGTATGAGTGATGGGTTTGATTTCTTTTGGCCTACGGTGTGACCCCGCCTCAAGCATTGAGCATCATTTTCTGAAGCCAACCAAATGCCAACCAGTAGTGTGAAGGACAATCGGTGTGTTTTTGTTTACTCAGCAACCACCCCAGAAGTAAGTCCCAGACTTCATGATGGGAAGACTGTCAAGAAATCCCCACATTTGACGTTTCCTGTAAATTTTCCCGTATACCAATCCATTGAGTAAGGGCTGATGAAGCCACTGGGCTGAAGCCAAACTTGATCAAGAATGCGCCTGCGTCTCCATGGTGCCAAGGCGGACACCCGTCCCGAGGTTGCAGTCTGAAGCCAAAAAGCCACGGCCACAGGGCTTCACCGTATCAAACAAAAGGAGGTCTGACAATGGACCGGATCATGATCAAGCCTATGTAGGGCCTAGGGAACCTGCACAAAAAGACACACATAAATCGCAGGATGTCGATACTGATCTTCATTTTCGCTAAAAAAACTTAGTCTGACAACAAGCCCAAAGCCCACGTTGGCCCAGATCTACGTGTGGGGTACTTATAAGGACTTGACTCACAGCCATGCCACGAATAACACCACTGATTTGGCTTAGACACTTATCTAAAGGATTAAGCGTGTGGATAAAATTAAAGGGCTATATGCCAACAGTTAGTTGGTGGTTGAACCCACCGTCCCCACACTCAAAATTCAATGAAATGGAATTGATAACTCGAAATTCAGATGATACCCGCAATCCGAGTAATATATAATATTGAAGCAATAGTAAACCATCCATATTTCGGATGGTTAATACCACCCACTACATTAAAAGGGTAAAATTGGGGATGGTGTATATTGCTTTACCTGCCAATCTGACTACCTTCCAGCCACCGGCATAGCCAGGACCTGGAGCTCTGCCCCCCAGGCACTGGAAGATAGCTTCTGATCGCTGTCCTTGTGAGTGTAAAGCCTAGGACGAAGTCGGCACAACTGCTCCAAGGTCGCCGACTCAAGCGGCTTGTCAATGGTACTCTTGCAGGGGCATGCATGTGCGTTTATGATTTCCCAAACTGGGTCCACACTGAGGGGTTCTTATGGTAAGAGTAAAGGTCGGGGTTAGCTCAGGGTGCTCCATCTGTAGCCTCGCACGCTGAAGATGAAGAAAAATAAGAAATGAAGGCCACTCAGCTGACTTTCAAGATTCCTTGATAGTGCCCGTGGCAAAAATAACAAAACTGCCATGGCATCAAACGTGGACCTAGTCAGTGAGCTTGGTAAAGTTTGATGTTGGCTGGGCCGCCGCCCCAATCATCCCATGTCACCCGAAGCCTTTGATTTCCCATGTTGTTGCTGTTGTCGTGGCTGATTCGTCAAAACTGGGTGGCCCTGAGCATGTGTCATGGTCGACTATCAAAAAAGACCGTTCACTCAAACAAGACCATCTCCTGCCCCCCACCTGTCAGAATTTTGACCTATGTCCATTTGTTACCATGATTTGCCACATGTCTAACCTGACCCGCTAAGATCAGATCCCCAACACACCCCGCCCCTGAGTCAGAGGCCGAACCCAGCAAATATCGCAAGTCAGAAGCATGCGGGCGAAGCGCCACCCTCAGGAGTGGAACTGGGTTTGGAAAATCTACAACCGGCAACGCAGTGGCTCATTTCTGCTACTTCAAGAATAATTTAGGGGCATCACATGGCAAATTTAAGCTGATTGGTTGCTTGAAACAGGAAGTATCCCCAAGGCCGAAAACATCCTCAAAGTGGATCATGATGCCAGAAATCATAAAAGGATTGAGAAGAAACATATTTCAACCCATCAGTCGCCTAGTCCATGAATGGCCCCATACAGTAATTGGCCGTAGCACCGGGTGGTATAATCCATGAAAAGATTTTTTTCAGACCTTAAATGAATTGGACCCAATGGTATTGAACTTATCTTGGTTGGCTAAATCCTGTTATATCCTGTTGGGGGGATGGTAAGTTCCCCTCATCTTGTTGATTACACCCCATACCCTCCAGTAAATCCTTTACTTCGTGTGATCCCCACCGTGACATTTTTACATTTTCTGAATGGCAAATCTTCTGGCATTCTATCTGACATATCTTCTGGCATTCTATCTGGCAAATCTGGCAATATCTTCTGGCATTCTATCTGGCATATCTTCTGGCATTCTATCTGACATATCTTCTGGCATTCTATCTGGCATATCTTCTGGCATATCTTCTGGCATATTATCTGGCAAATCTTCTGGGATTCTATCTGGCATATCTTCTGGCATATCTTCTGGCATTCTATCTGGCATATCTTCTGGCATATTATCTGGCAAATCTTCTGGGATTCTATCTGGCATATCTTGTGTCATTCTATCTGACATTTTATCTGGCATACCTTCTGGCATTCTATCTGGCATATCTCATAGCATTTTATCTGGCATATCTTCTGGAATTCTATCTAACATTCCATCTGGCATATCTTCTGGCATTCTATCTGGCATATCTCATGAGGTCCGGCAGGGAACACTTGGCGTGGATACTCGCGGTTGAGGTCCGGCAGGGAACACTGGGCGTGGATGGTCGTGGTTGAGGTCCGGCAGGGAACACTGGGCGGGGATGGTCGTGGTTGAGGTCCGGCAGGGAACACTGAGCGTGGATGGTCGTGGTTGAGGTCCGGCAGGGAACACTGGGCGTGGATGGTCGTGGTTGAGGTCCGGCAGGGAACACTGGGCGTGGATGGTCGTGGTTGAGGTCCGACAGAGAACACTGTGGATCGCGAGTCGCAGTTGAGCAGGAGGACGAGGAGGACAACGAGAGGAGGAGGACAACGAGAGGAGGAGAGGAGAGGAGAGGAGGAGGAGGACCAGGCAACTGACATAAAATCTAACAACCCTCACCTGGCAGGTGGGGAAAAAACAACATGTGAATCCATGATCCGTAAAGTTCCCTTAGAAATCTTAGACATGATTTGGTCTACAAAAGGCAGGTTTTCCACAGTTATGTCAATGCACATAAATGCCTACGGTTTATTATCTGAAAATAGGTTACCCATGGTCCCATGGTTGCCCCATTCCATCTTATTCCATCATCATTGGTGAAGCATCATTTTCCCTAATCTGTCTCTCTAGCCCTAATCTGTCTCTCTAGCTAGACCCTCCAAATACAACCCCAAAATGGTGAAAAGTACTAACAACTGTGGGGCAAGACACACTTTTTCCATTTTGATGGCTACTGTATACTTGTTCCGTTTTTATGGATACTTTTTTTTAAAAAATGGGTTAGGGCTTATATCATCCCTCACTTTCAGACACACAAATCGACCGCCACAAGCAGGTACGCAGAGCGCAGAAGCTCCACAGCCCGCAGTAGAGGCCTGAGCTTAAGGCCATATGGTTTTGAATAAAGATAGCTAGCAAATTCAATGGATGGATGATAGATGATAGATAATGATAATGATCATTAATGATATATGAGTCTAAATTTGCCCTAAGGTAAATGAACATACAGATATACGTAAATTAAGTAAAACCAATGGACTCTCCACAGAATGATCTATAACGGGTAGATTTTCCAATTGGCAGGAAAGTATCAGAGTATCAATCTGGGATCGGCCCCCGAAGTAGGAAAGTCAAACACAAGACACGCATGTACCCACCTTCGATGCTGAGGTATTTGCTCTTCATTGCCGCTCGGCACTCCCAGTCCTTGCAAGTATGACTTAAACAACCGCGATGTGGCACAAACTATGGAGATTTTACACCAAGGGGATTGAAAACGCCCCATTTCCATCCAGACAATCAAAATTAGTCTGTGGGATTCTGTGGGGATCAACAAACTTGGTGGTGTTCTCTCTTCACTGCGGTTTAAGCCCCAGCTTTGCCACTTGAACTCCCCACTTTTTGCTCCTGAGTTCCCAGCGGTCGGCCGTCCGTGGCTCATCAGAAATGACTCCTGCCCCTTGAAGGCAAGCCTGTAGGAGCTGCGAAGCCTGCGGGGTAGGCATCGCAGGCTCAAAGTGGTTGGTGGGGTGGTTTGAGTTTCACCCCTCTAGAGAGAGGGGGAGAGAGAGAGAGAGAGAGAGATATATATATATACACACTACATATGTATATATATATATACTACATACATGTCATGAATATATATATATACACTACATATGTATATATATACATACATATCATGAATATAAATATATATATACTACATATATATATATACTACATACTACTACACACAGATAAATATATATATACACTACACACATATATATATATATATATATATCATCTATTTATATAAACTGTATAATATGATATGAACTCATCATCCCACCTAGTACAAAATTCAAACATGTTTGAAATCACCAGGAGGTCATCTAAAATCCGCAACCTACCCACTTCGTGCATGACTTTCAGTCTCAGCATGTAGAAACGTGAGGACTTCGCACGGTTTGAAATGACTGGAAGGTATGCGGTGGGTACGCTGGGCACTCTCAACTATATTCAACAATCAACTGGGGGAGAAGAGAATAATAAGCATGCATTGGGCTGCTCGAACCGCTACACTCTTTAGTCTGCGATTCTCCGATAGGATCCTTCATCCCACGCCTCACTCTCACTTCGTTCCACCGACGGCACATCGGCGCTACGAGCCTCGGACGACAGCCAGGAAGTTGGTAAACTGCCCTAACCATGAGAAGTAGTAGGATATATATATATATTATATAGATATATACATGTATACGTATTGGATGATAGCCAGTTCCTGTCCATTTACCACGTGGGTCTTATCTTGTCCCTGGCATGGTGACATTTACCTTGCCCAAAAAATTGGAGAAACCTGCACAACAGCCACTTTCATGGTGACGTCCAAACTAAACCATGGGGCGTTAACCCATCCCTGCCTCAGGTATGTTTAGATCGTGTCAAAAATAGCATGTTCGACATGGTGAGACTTAGTTGCAGTGTTCTTCACAACGCTAGGAACGCATACCACCGTCAAAATATGACAGAAATTCACGGAAAACGTTTTTCTATGAACTTGTTTCTCCCCAGGCTGGCAGGACTAAAAATCATGTCAATCATTTCTCGAAATAGCACGGGCAGTGTACACCTTGGTGCCTAAGCCCACTGGCTGCCACATCATGCACCGTCCGCCCAAAGAGAGGTCGACCTGAGATGGCCATTTCAAGAAGCAACCCATAAAGATCCCGGAAGATGTAACGGTTCAAGGTACTCTGCCAATCAAAAATTATTGGCAACATGGTCATGTTCACTGGTGAAACCATCTGCCAGGTCCCTTTTGGGGCTTCATGTTTGATTTCATGAAGCTCAACTGCTTTACCTGCCAAGAACTGTTTCATTTTGTATGAAAACCCATTAATGTTGTATCCTGATGATTAGTGGCTAGGTTCGCTATTGTGCCCAAATTTTTCCAACTTATTCTGAACCCCTGCATTGTTTGGAAGGTTCACTATTGGGGGGGACATGTTTTTGTCAAAAAAATGTTTGTGTAAAAAAAAAATGAACATTTGTTCTGAAAAAATCTTGTTTCTCCCCGCCACACATTTCCAAGGCACTGGGCCATGAGAGGGTCCAATTCACTTTAGTAGGTTTGTGCCCAGGGTTCACAATTGCAGCAAACTTTTCCAGAGCTGATCCTGGAGCCAAGAGAAGAAAGAAAAGCCTTTTACAAAAGCAATTGCCAAGTTCAAAGCCCAAACCTTTCCCAAAAGAACCAGACCACTTATCAAATCCTTATTCAAGAACAGTTTCTCCACAAATTTCCAACGCACTGGGCCATGAGAGACCCAATTCACTTTAGTAGGTTTGTGCTCAGGGGTCACAATTGCAGCAAACTTTTTCAGAGCTGATCCTGGATTCAAGAGGAGAAAGGTGGGCCTTTTCCACAAGCAGTTGCCACATTCAAAGTCCAAACCTTTCCCAAGAGAACCAGACCACTTATCAAATCCTTATTCAAGAACAGTTTTGCCACAAATTTCCAAGGCACTGGGCCATGAGAGGGTCCAATTCACTTTAGTAGGCTTGTGCCCAGGGTTCACAATTGCAGCAAACTTTTCCAGAGCTGATCCTGGAGCCAAGAGAAGAAAGAAAGGCCTTTTACAAAAGCAATTGCCAAGTTCAAAGCCCAAACCTTTCCCAAAAGAATCAGACCGCTTATCAAATCCTTGTTCAAGAACAGTTTCTCCACAAATTTCCAAGGCACTGGGCCATGAGAGGGTCCAATTCACTTTAGTAGGTTTGCGCTCAGGGTTCACAATTGCAGCAAACTTTTCCAGAGCTGATCCTGGATTCAAGAGGAGAAAGGTGGGCCTTTTCCACAAGCAGTTGCCACATTCAAAGCCCAAACCTTTCCCAAAAGAACCAGACCGCTTACTAAACCCCTATTAAAGAACAGTTTTTCCACAAATTTCCAAGGCACTGGGCCATGAGAGGGTCCAATTCACTTTAGTAGGTTTGTGCTCAGGGGTCACAATTGCAGCAAACTTTTTCAGAGCTTATCCTGGGGCCAAGAGAAGAAAGAAAAGCCTTTTACAAAAGCAATTGCCAAGTTCAAAGCCCAAACCTTTCCCAAAAGAATCAGACCGCTTATTAAACCCTATTGAAGAACAGTTTTTCCACAAATTTCCAACGCACTGGGCCATGAGAGGGTCCAATTCACTTTAGTAGGCTTGTTCGCAGGGTTCGCAATTGCAGCAACCTTTTGCAGAGCTGATCCTGGAGCCAAGAGAAGAATCAAAAGCCTTTTACAAAAGCAATTGCCAAGTTCAAAGCCCAAACCTTTCCCAAAAGAACCAGACCACTTATCAAATCCTTATTCAAGAACAGTTTCTCCACAAATTTCCAACGCACTGGGCCATGAGAGAGTCCAATTCACTTTAGTAGGTTTGTGCTCAGCGTTCACTATTGCAGCAAACTTTTTCAGAGCTGATCCTGGATTCAAGAGGAGAAAGGTGGGCCTTTTCCACAAGCAGTTGCCACATTCAAAGTCCAAACCTTTCCCAAGAGAACCAGACCACTTATCAAATCCTTATTCAAGAACAGTTTTTCCACAAATTTCCAAGGCACTGGTCCATGAGAGGGTCCAATTCACTTTAGTAGGTTTGTGCCCAGGGTTCACAATTGCAGCAAAATTTTTCAGAGCTGATCCTGGAGCCAAGAGAAGAAAGAAGCTTATTAAGCCCTTATTCAAAAACAGTTTCTCCACAAATTTCCAAGGCACTGGGCCATGAGAGATCCAATTCACTTTAGTAGGTTTGTTCTCAGGGGTCACAATTGCAGCAAACTTTTTCAGAGCTGATCCTGGATTCAAGAGGAGAAAGGTGGGCCTTTTCCACAAGCAGTTGCCACATTCAAAGTCCAAACCTTTCCCAAGAGAATCAGACCGCTTTTTAAACCCCTATTAAAGAACAGTTTTTCCACAAATTTCCAACGCACTGGGCCATGAGAGGGTCCAATTCACTTTAGTAGGTTTGCTCTCAAGGTTCACAAGTGCAGCAAACTTTTCCAGAGCTGATCCTGGAGCCAAGAGAAGAAAGAAAAGCCTTTTACAAAAGCAATTGCCAAGTTCAAAGCCCAAACCTTTCCCAAAAGAATCAGACCGCTTATCAAATCCTTATTCAAGAACAGTTTTTCCACACATTTCCAAGGCACTGGGCCATGAGAGGGTCCAATTCACTTTAGTAGGTTTGTTCTCAAGGGTCACAATTGCAGCAAACTTTTTCAGAGCTGATCCTGGATTCAAGAGGAGAAAGGTGGGCCTTTTCCACAAGCAGTTGCCACATTCAAAGTCCAAACCTTTCCCAAGAGAATCAGACCGCTTATTAAACCCCTATAAAAGAACAGTTTTGCCACAAATTTCCAAGGCGCTGGGCCATGAGAGGGTCCAATTCACTTTAGTAGGTTTGTTCTCAAGGTTCACAAGTGCAGCAAACTTTTCCAGAGCTTATCCTGGAGCCAAGAGAAGAAAGAATTTCCTTTTACAAAAGCAATTGCCAAGTTCAAAGCCCAAACCTTTCCCAAAAAAATCAGATCACAAATTTCCAAGGCACTGGGCCATGAGAGGGTCCAATTCACTTTAGTAGGTTTGTTCGCAGGATTCGCAAATGCAGCAAACTTTTCCAGAGCTGATCCTGGAGCCAACAGAGGAAAGAAAAGCCTTTTACAAAAGCAATTGCCAAGTTCAAAACCCAAACCTTTCCCAAAAGAACAAGACTGCGTATCAAATCCTTATTCAAGAACAGTTTTTCCACAAATTACCAACGCACTGGGCCATGAGAGGGTCCAATTCACTTTAGTAGGTTTGTGCTCAGGGTTCACAATTGCAGCAAACTTTTCCAGAGCTGATCCTGGAGCCAAGAGAAGAAAGAAAAGCCTTTTACAAAAGCAATTGCCAAGTTCAAAGCCCAAACCTTTCCCAAAAGAATCAGACCGCTTACTAAACCCTTATTAAAGAACAGTTTCTCCACCTTCACAATTGCAGCAAACTTTTCCAGAGCTGATCCTGGAGCCAAGAGAAGAAAGAAAAGCCTTTTACAAAAGCAATTGCCAAGTTCAAAGCCCAAACCTTTCCCAAAAGAATCAGACCGCTTACTAAACCCTTATTAAAGAACAGTTTTTCCACAAATTTCCAAGGCACTGGGCCATGAGAGGGTCCAATTCACTTTAGTAGGTTTGTGCTCAGGGGTCACAATTATTGCAGCAAACTTTTCCAGAGCTGATCCTGGATCCAAGAGAAGAAAGAAAGGCCTTTTACAAAAGCAATTGCCAAGTTCAAAGCCCAAACCTTTCCCAAAAGAACAAGACTGCGTATCAAATCCTTATTCAAGAACAGTTTTTCCACAAATTTCCAACGCACTGGGCCATGAGAGGGTCCAATTCACTTTAGTAGGTTTGTGCTCAGGGTTCACAATTGCAGCAAACTTTTCCAGAGCTGATCCTGGAGCCAAGAGAAAAAAAAGCCTTTTACAAAAGCAATTGCCAAGTTCAAAGCCCAAACCTTTCCCAAAAGAATCAGACCGCTTACTAAACCCTTATTAAAGAACAGTTTTTCCACAAATTTCCAAGGCACTGGGCCATGAGAGGGTCCAATTCACTTTAGTAGGTTTGTTCTCAGGGGTCACAATTGCAGCAAACTTTTTCAGAGCTGATCCTGGGTTCAAGAGGAGAAAGGTGGGCCTTTTCCACAAGCAGTTGCCACATTCAAAGTCCAAACCTTTCCCAAGAAAATCAGACCGCTTATTAAACCCCTATAAAAGAACAGTTTTGCCACAAATTTCCAAGGCACTGGGCCATGAGAGGGTCCAATTCACTTTAGTAGGTTTGTTCTCAAGGTTCACAAGTGCAGCAAACTTTTCCAGAGCTTATCCTGGAGCCAAGAGAAGAAAGAATTTCCTTTTACAAAAGCAATTGCCAAGTTCAAAGCCCAAACCTTTCCCAAAAAAATCAGATCACAAATTTCCAAGGCACTGGGCCATGAGAGGGTCCAATTCACTTTAGTACTTTAGTAGATTTGTTTGCAGGATTCGCAAATGCAGCAAACTTTTCCAGAGCTGATCCTGGAGCCAGGAGAGGAAAGAAAAGCCTTTTACAAGAGCAATTGCCAAGTTCAAAGCCCAAACCTTTCCCAAAAGAATCAGACCGATTATTAAACCCGTATTAAAGAACAGTTTCTCCACAAATTTCCAAGGCACTGGGCCATGAGAGGGTCCAACTCACTTTAGTAGGTTTGTGCTCAGGGGTCACAATTATTGCAGCAAACTTTTCCAGAGCTGATCCTGGATCCAAGAGAAGAAAGAAAGGCCTTTTACAAAAGCAATTGCCAAGTTCAAAGCCCAAACCTTTCCCAAAAGAATCAGACCGATTATTAAACCCTTATTAAAGAACAGTTTCTCCACAAATTTCCAAGGCACTGGGCCATGAGAGGGTCCAACTCACTTTAGTAGGTTTGTGCTCAGGGGTCACAATTGCAGCAAACTTTTCCAGAGCTGATCCTGGAGCCAAGAGAAGAAAGAAAAACCTTTTACAAAAGCAGCCTGTTCTTTCTTTTTCCCTTTCTCTTTCTCTTCCTCTTCCCTTTCCTCTTTCTCTTCCTCTTCCTCTTCCTCTTCTTCTTCCTCTTTCTCTCTCTCTCTCTCTCTATTTCTCTTTCTCTCTCTCTCTCTTTCTCTTTCTCTCGTTCCTTTTCTCTTTTCTTTCTCTTTCTCTTTCTCCTTCTCTTATTGCATGGTTCATTATGAACCATGCAAACTTAAGGTGGAAAAAGTAACGCAATCAACATGCTTAACCCGACTCACTATAAGTACTACAAGTTACTATGAGTACAAGTGCTACAAGTACTACAAGTTCATCGGCAAAAAAAAAGTTTTAATTATATAGATTTCAATTGTAGCCAATTGATTCTTACTTAAGTGCGGATTTGTTTTTTCTTGGGAAGATTTTTTTGGGCGCCCAAGTTTAAAGAGGGTATAGGTATTGTTTGAGGGGGGTTTTATAGTAATCAGGACGAAACATTACCAAACAAACAACACTTCCGGGGCCCCTTCTATGCATCACATCCCCAAAAAAACGATGGCAACTTGTGATAACAATTCACTGCCCTCCGACAATCAGACATGGCTTGCTGGAAACTCCGCCTTGAATAGATGATTTTCCCATTAAAACCCGCCTTATCCCCCAAGTCATGGGATTTCTCAGCTGGCCATGTTTGATGACAGGGTAACCATCACCCTCATAGGACCCCCATCATTCCCCATGAAAATTTCACCCATATGTTTGCTGGGTAAATCATGGTAAACCACGATTTTTCAAGCTGTTTTTGGGCACCATCCATGGGGACATCAGCCCACTACCAGGACCACGCGCTTGCAAGCTCTGGATGCGTTGCGTAGAAGGCATCTGCACCTGATGTCTGGGTGCTTTTTTACATCACTGCAGCCCCAAAATCGACTGAAGAGTTGAAAACCTGGAAATCATGGGGCAAACATCATCTAGATTTATACCATCCTGGACATGCATTGTCCGATCTTTTTGAATAGTAGTTCTTTGGGTCGTTCGGTGGTTAAAAACCGTTAAAACCATAGCCATTCGGATTCAAATTGAAGGGATCATCTTCAACCCCAGCAAGCCGACACCGGGTGACCTTGGGTGACCGGGCGCAGAGCAGCACCTACAAAGGATGTGTGGGAAGTGGTGCTCCAGTGAATGCCTCTTTGTCCTGAGAGCGTCCCGGAGGTCTTGGATGGAGGTATGGAAGAGCATCAGCTAGAAGATGCTAATACCTGGAATATATGTGGATAATATGATACTAAAACAAAGAATAGCACCTATAGTCATACATAATTTCTAATAAGATACTGGGATCATTGATGATAATTAGGTATATACGGAAGAGCACCCGTTTGTTCATGTTCTTCTAGAAACTAGATGAAACTATTGACGACAATAAAGGTCAAGCCGCGAAGCGGACGAGATGTGTGCAATTCACGGTGTTTTTTTCAACCTTTGGACCCCTAATTCAACTCTTTGAGTGTTCCAAGAACGATAATTTATCATTGGAGTTCAATGGTAACCTTGAAAGGTAGCCTCTGGTAATTTAACATAACTATGGAAAATCACCATTTTTAATGGGAAAATCCACTATAAATTGCCATGTTCAATAGCTATGTTAAATTACCAGAGGGTAGCCTTTTTTGCCAATCAAACATGGAAAACCCACAGAGCTTTTTCGCCATGCCATGGGATCTCCCAGCCATGGCCGTTTGAGTCGTCCCGTGACGCCTGGTCCACTGGAGATGTGTCCACAGCGCCTCAGCGTTTTACATCGCGGAGATCCCCAGTTTTGTTGAGATGCAGTATTTATTATATCTGTATTTAAAAAATGATGTGTATATGTATATATATATGTGTATGTGTGTGTATGTATAATTAAATATGTAAATAATTATATATATATATATATACATAGGTATAATTATGTCTGTGTAATATTTTGATATTTCACATTATTTCACGTAGAAAATGTCTATAATACCTGAATAGTTAGGAATCAACTTGTCTTTCTTTTATAGTGGCCACATAGGAGCATCGCAACCCGAATGAGCCATCTCCATCCCGAGTGAGACATCCTCGGCAAAAGCCAGCTGTTGAATGGATTCAGGCCTGGAAATTCGCAGTGCATTCAAACATCTAGCAGAAAAAGTAAATAAGTTCATCTATTTACCGCTGGCTGCCATTCTTTGTACCAATATGTACCAATTATTTGTTGGAATTCTTGTGAGCATCAAGTCAATTTTGGAAAAGTATGGACAAAGGACAGTTCTTGAATCATCAAAAGACAACAAAAACATAGAAAAACAATTCGAGAGAGGGCTATGATGCTGAACCCATCGCACCCTGCCAAACACTTTAAACTGCTGATAACTATATTTGTAGCCCTTGGCCCCCAGTTTTGAGGATTGTGTTTGATACTGACACCACCATTGTTGAAAATGTGCACCGATTCTACCCCAGGTTTGATGCTTATCCCATCTTATACCTTATAATGTTAACCCAGGGTCAATAACTCCTAGGCTGATGATCTTTGGGCAGAAATCACTAGTTGGGTGGTGACCCACAGTCCTTGATCAATCATGTTTATTAAACATCAACGAATCCCAGGTCGACATTATAGTAGCTGGTTGGTGGCTGAGCCACCGCACTGAAAACTATGAAAGGAACTTGGCATTTAACTTGGGGAGTGGGATTCTCGTGGGTTGAAATAAACAAGAGAATGTGCATGTATGCTTTGATAGATTCTCCAAATCGTACATTTCCCCTTGGGGAACACAAATATCACTCTACGCCAACCGATGCCAGTTACACATCCATGTTTTCGTGGATTGCTTAAGAGCTCCTCCCACGCATAAAATGATTCTCCGCATGGTAAGAGTAAACCAAAAAAATAGAGGGCCACCTGGAGCAAATCGAAGTTTTGACTGGAGTAACCCTACTCACCCTACTTATGACTGGGATTCCACCTCACATACCTGGGATGGACCACCAAGTATTTTTAAACATGTTTAGTCTCTGCGAATTTCCCATTAGCTATGGAAGATCTTCGGTTGATCGAGGATTTTCCCATCTAAACATGTCTAGGGGAATTCGCTAGCCATGTTAGATGACACCAGAGGGTAACGCATCTCTCCACACCATCGCTTCAGCACGGCACTCGGCTGCAGCATCTGCCTGGATGCCTCGTTGAAAATCTCGGCCTCGACAAGACGCTAACCATGGGTTTTATACCAGAAGAAATCCTGAATATCACCATTTCATAAGGGTAACCTGTTCTTTCTTGCCCAACTAAAGGCAACCTTTTTTTAACCTCCTGACTAATACTACTTCAATTCAAATGTCTTTTGTTGACTCACCATGACTAAGTAGGATTTAAAATGATTCAGGAAGCAGGAATTGGATTTTCCTCTACCAGGAATGTGGATGCTAAGATGTTTTAAGATGAAAAGAATCGGATTTCTTGTAAACCAAGCTCTAAAAACAAGGATAAAGCCAGCAGCCATGAGATGTTATAGCATGGTATGCCCAACAATTGGGGGGCCCTCTTGCCTGGTTTTCCTAACCTGAAAAAACGGTATCAACTGTGGATTTTTTCCAGGAGAATCTAGAATTTGAGGAAATGTACTCCAATGGCCTTTGCAGGATGGGCAAGTGGAAGGTGGTTCTTCTTTGGCTGCAACTCCCCTCATTTGCGGTCACCTGGGATGTTTTCCTTATACATGGGGGGAACTTTTGAAATGTCCATGCGTTTCACCAATAAACCTACCCAATTTGGCCGGCATCGGAGTAGTTAGTAACTAGGACACGGCAAGTACATGGGTTCTGTCCCCATGTCGCCAATCAGGGAAGGTGACTTGCAAGCATCACCCCATATCAACCTGGCTGGTCCTATCAACCATTTTCAACCCATCCGCACGAAGGATTGGTCAATTGGTTTTCGGATGTCTTCGGCAATGGAAACAATACTGCATCTTTGGTTCGCAAACGTCCCAGCCAACTTGGGGGATGCCGTTGAGGTGAAATTTCGCTAGGAAACCTCGGGGTTCATTCAAGCCCCATATGTTGGAACTTGTTGGAATATGGGGTTCCTCTAACCAGCCAATTCTCATATCATTATAATCTCTATATCAACAAAATCGTTTCATCTGCCAAGGAGCACGGCAGCACGTGGATCATCTCTGAGGCCTCACATTTGGGGTTTGCAGCGCTCATCGCATTGGCTTGGCCACATGATTGTAGCGTTTGTCATTACTATCATCATGCTTACAAGCCTTCCTACTCTCATTGATTAATTACTACTAGCATCATTATTATAATACTTCCCCACCTGCCAGGTGAGGGCCTGTAGTCTTGAGTTGTTTCCTCCTCGTCCTCTCCCCTTCTCCTCTTCTCCTCGTCCCTCAGCTCCTCAACTGCGAGCGCCAGATCTCAGTGGGCACCGCGGCACTGCCATACCTCAACCGTGGGCGCCACATCCTCAGCCAGACGCCAGAGAGAATGTCAGATAGAATTCCAGCAAGAACATCAGAATAGATGCCAGGAAGAATGCCAGAATGAATGCCTGAAAAGATGCCAGATAGAGTGTCAGAATAGATGCCAGATAAAACGGCAAAAATAATGTCAGAATATATGCCAGAAAGTATGTCAGAATAGATCCCAGATAGAATGTCAGATAGAATCTCAAAGCATATGCCAGAAAGAATGTCAGATAGAATGTCGGAATAAATGCGCCATATCTACTTCCTGATGGTATGTCAGAAGCCATGTTAGAATAGTGTTTCAGGGTGGGGTTCACTCGAAGAAAGAAAATAGATTATTGTTTTATAGTTATTCTTGTTACTACTATATTGTTAAGATTATTATCATATTGTTTTTTGTATGCCTATCACCCCCATCCCCTTCCAATTCCTCCATCGCCACTCCAGCCAAGCTCCCCTGCGTTGACGGAGCTCCTCCGCAGCTGGCTGAGTAGCCTGGGCCCTGTGCCACCCTGAGCATCATCCTGCGGTGGATGCCGTGGGTTTTGTCCAAGAAAAAACCCTGAAATCATGGCAAATCCTCGCATTTCCTCTATATAGTGTCCAGTTTGACAGTTTATATTTAGGGCGATTTCTGAAATTCTGATGAATAAAGTTCAATCACATTTTCTTTTAGTTTCATATGTCCAACATGATGCTAGGAATTTGCTTGGCTTACTAGGGGGCCCCTTGCAATCGAAAATAAATGAGTAGATTACCCAAATTGTGGATTCTATAATGGGAAAAGATGACTTCAGCAAATCGGCAATGGCAATTTTGATTGGGAAAATTGAAAATCACTGGCAATGGTTGCTTGGTTTTAATTATGAAGTCATTATCGAACATGGGTGCATCTTATGTTCACGCAAACTCACTTGACTTCGAGGTGGGGCCACATGAAAACCTGCATGAGAAAATGGCGAAGGTGCAAAAGATATCAAAATGAAAATCCGGAGGCAAGAAAGATTGGTTGTCATATTCCAGAGAGGATTTGGTTTCTGATCTGTATGGGATGCAAAATTATGCAAAGTGAAGGTGTGCCACACTTCACCCGAGGGGCCACCCGGATACGTAGTCAAATTAGCCCAGCTTTGCAACCCAACAGCGAAAGGTTCCAGCAAGGTTCCAGGACTGTTCCGGTTTTTCGGGGCGTGCATTTTCATGTAATAAGAGAGAGAGAGAGACAGAGAGAAAGTATACACACATATATATATATATGTATAGATACACACACACACATACATATATATATATATGCGTACATATGTGTATAAATATACATATATGTATATGTATATGTATATGTATTATTGTGTATTCCAACATGTTCAAACATACATACAAAATGGCGCCCGCCCAATTCGTAAATTGCTTGATAACCCCCATGCACTATAGATAATCATAGATGATATGTGCGTGGCAAACCCAAAGTTTATTGGAGGCAGTTTAGCAACTTTGCCATGAGGATTCCATCATAATTTCCTTAACTTTTGGTTGAATTCCCATTGTTCAACCATTCAACCATCCAAGCATCCAAGCCATGGAGTTATCAACCTAGCTATCGGTGGATGGATTGGGATCAACTAGCTAGTTCGTCCATGTTAATCCCTAACTTTTCGTTGAGCCCCCATGTTTTCAACCTATATCAACCTAGTTTGGGGCACCGGCATCACCTGGACCACCTGGACCACCTGGACCTTGGGCCCCCAGGGCCCCAGCCCAGCGATGTTGCCCTGGAGTCTCAAAGCAGCTCGAGATGGCAAGCCTAGCCGAAAGCAACGCAAAAAGCGGAAGATGGCTGTCCCAGCTTGAAGATCAACCACCTTTTTTGGCTCATGTTTACCTTTTTTGGCTCATGTTTACTGGCTCTTTAGCTGTGAGGATTTAGAGCTATTTATAAAAATCCTAGAGCTATTGATAAAAGTCCTAGAGCTATTGATAAAAGTCCTAGATCTATTGATAAAAGTCCTAGATCTATTGATAAAATTCCCAGGGCTATTTCAAAAAGTCTTGGAGCTATTTGATGTAAATCCAGCAGTTATGTTTAAATTCATAGGGATATTTGTAAAATTCCTAGAGAGTTATTTATAAATTATTCATTCAAGTTATTTGTAGAATTCTTAGGGCTGTCAAAAAGATCCAATTCATAAACTTTGAAAGGGTATTGAAAAAACTAGAGTTATTTATAAAAATGTTTATAAAATCCCTAGACTCATTTATAAAATTCTTAGAATTATGCAAAAAAAATCCTAGAGTTATTCACAAGATTCTTGGAGTTGCTTATAGTTTTTGAAAGGGTATTGACAAATTGTTTGAAACCATTTGTAGAATGCCTATAATCATTTATCTACATCTCTAGGACTGTTTAATATTGTGGACGCTATTTTAAAAATCAAATAGTTATTTATAGAAATATACCATAAGTTCCAAAACTATTCCCAACATATTGGAAACGGATTCAAATTTCCGAACAAAGCCGTGAGAAAAATCTGGAATGGGCATGGACGTGGTTGCTGAAACGCCAAGGGCATAAAAATATGCTGCAGGATGTTCAGAAGATATCACCAAAATTGTTATTGATTGATATAATGTGTGCCGTCTTGTCTTATGATATGATTAAAAATTTTGCAGATTTTACAAATCATACATATCAGAACATAACTAAACAAATGTGGCATAAGATATATTCATCCTCTACCATAAGGCAATCAATGAACATATAATCAAAATGTTGAGATGTTGTTCTTGTTTGTTAACATGACCCGCTATTTATGTTTAAAGTTTAACATGTTTAAAACATATATCGCTATTTCATTGTGCCCAAGAAAGGGAAATGATTTTAAGAGAAAAAAACATAGTTCTAAACAGCTCAGGGCGGCTCAGAGCGATTAGTAAAAGTGCGTTTAATACTAGCTCTATGCGGCTCAGAGCGATTTAGTTCCATTTATCCTCAAAAGCACCATTTTTAACCATATAGCCCAGAGCGGCTCAGAACCACACAGAGCGGCTTCTAAATTTGGAAATTGTACATACAGAACTAAATAGTTCAGAGCGGCTCAGAGCTGTTTCTCAAAGAGTGTTTAGCAAAAACTCTAAGTAGCTCAGAGCGGCTCAGTGCTACTTCTGAAATGGCCAACTGAGAGCTTCATTTTGTAAAGATCATGAAACCATAACAAAAAAGGGAAACCAGGCATGTTAGCAAATTTTGATTCGCTTAAGTTACTGGAACAATCGATATACAAACACGGGCACGGATCATTCCATTACCTGCCAAGAATTAAAGGCCCAACTGGAAGACAAAAAAGAACAACAAACCAAGGGACAAGGGTTTTGTAGATGGCGGCTTTTCATGTTTGAGGACATGTAAGATGTGCTGCTAGGGATGCTTCCAAAGAGCTAAGGCTGCGGCTATGGATATTGCCTTTTGCTATATCATTCTTTAAGCATGGCCTGGAAAGTTACAACCCAATCACCCGCAATGCCCCATAGGACAAGTTCAAGGCCTCCTGCCCTCAACTCCCTCTAGTTCAGGCCAAGGCCCTCCACAGGCCCCACTCTGCTGAAACGGCGGAGGGGAGGGGAAACGTTTAGAAATCGCCCTGGGAATTTTAGAAATCGCTCTGGGAATTTTAGAAATCGCTCTGGGAATTTTAGAAATCGCTCTGGGAATTTTAGAAATCGCTTTGGGAGATTCTAAGAGTTTAGAACTGCGCCAAATCGCTCTACATAGTTTCTGCAGGGGAAAAAAACGCGTGAAGTCTGTGAAAATCAGCCGTGCTGCTGCCCCGATGGCTGTAGCTAGGGAGTGTGTGGGACCAGGGTGCCACATGTTGGTTCTGAGGGCTGCCCCTGTGAAGCTCTGCTGCGTGAGACTCTCCGGCCCTGGAACTTGAACACTGGCAGACTGGCAAGACAATTTCCTTCAGCACGTGGTCAAACACGTACTTAACACACCCGAGCTTGGCCAGACAGGGCTCTGAGGAAAGGTTCAATCGCGCGTTGCACAGAGCTTGATGGGGAGCACGACGCATTTGGAGGTGCACGATGGCAATGGTGGCGGCAATGATGATGATGATGATGATGATGCTGATGATGATGACGACGATGATGGTGATGATGAAGATGAAGATGAAGATGACGATGATCATGATGATGCTGATGATGCTGACGATGATGATGATGCTGATGCTGATGCTGATGCTGATGCTGAAGGTGGTGGTGCTGATGTTAATGCTGATGCTGATGCTGCTGATGCTGCTGATGATGATGATGATGATGATGATGCTGATGATGATGACGATGATGATGATGCTGATGCTGATGCTGATGCTGATGCTGAAGGTGGTGGCGCTGATGCTAATGCTGATGCTGATGCTGAAGGTGGTGGTGCTGATGCTAATGCTGATGCTGATGCTGCTGCTGCTGCTGCTTCTGATGATGATGATGATGACGATGACGATGACGGTGATGATGGTGATGATGATGATGATGACGATGATGATGATGATGATGATACATGCTCATGATGATGATTGCTGATTGATGATAATGGTTTTGATTTTGACGGCGGTGATGATGATCATGATGATGACGATTCCTATGATGATGGTGGGTATATGGTCACGGTGATGGTGATAGTGAAGGTTGATGGCGAAAGTGATTGTGGTGATGACAGCGGCTGTGATGTTGAGGGCGTAGCATGGCGAATAACAAGATCAAGCATTACTATTTCAAGGACATAGCCTGGAAGGAAGTCAAATTTTATGACGTTCATTTCACCGCTTTAAGAATATGCGGCAGGATTCTGAAATATGTGGAACGAATTTCCGAGAATGTTCGCAGTAGCTCTTAAATTTTACAATAGTTCCAAGACTTGTAGGCGCAGACATACTTGTGAGAATTTGGGAACTTCTTAGGCCAACACAATTATCTAAGTTTAAGGCCGCAGGATTTTTTTTGACATAGGTGTGAGCATTTGAGACAAGTTGTTAGAGATTGTAGTCATAGTTGTGAGAAAAATGACACCGTTTTAACAGTTCTTGAATTTCAGAAAGGTGTTGAACATCTTTTGACTGGTTTGAAACTCTTACGAACTACTTCTTCAGGAAATGGAAATAGCCTTGGAAATTGAGATATATTTACAGTATATATAATTATTGAACGCAAGAAGTGTTCAAAACTTGAAGCAATTTTGAGAAATAATTTTGAGGCTTTTAGAAATAGCCCTGAGCACTGTCTGATTCTTTTAGAAATAGTTCTGACGGATTTAGAAATAGTCTTGAAACTTCTGGATGAGGATTGAAGATTTTAGAAATAACTGTGACAATTTTAGAAATAGTTTTGCAATTTTAGAAATAGTTCTGACAATTTTAGAAATAGTTTTGACAATTTTAGAAATAGTTCTGACAATTTTAGAAATAGTACTGACAATTTTAGAAATAGTTCTGCAACTCTCACAGAAACCCAAAATAAAGAAGCCGAAGTATATATATATTCTGCTAATTGTTCAATCTTTATTGATGTTCATTGATAAATATTGATGTTCATTAATGTTCATTGATGTTTATTGATGCTTACTGATGTGTAATAATGTTTATTGATGTTCATTGATGTTTATTGACGATGTTCTTTGATGTGTATTGGTGTTCATTGATGTTCCTTGATGCTTATTGATGTTCATGGATGTTTATTGATGTTCATTGATTCTTTTGTGATGTTTATTAATGAATATTGGTGTTCATCTATATGTTTATCGATGTTTATTAATGTTTACTGATGCTGGTTGATGTTTAATGATGTTTATTGGTGTTCATCAATGCTTATTGATGTTCATTGATGTTTATTGATTGATTGATGTTTATTGATGTTTTTTGAGGTTTACTGTACTCACAGTTTTCGATGTTTACTGATGATACTGATGTTTTTTTTATGTTTGTTCATGTTACAGTACTTGCTGATTATTCATGTTTACTGATACTGATATTCATTGATGCTGTTTGATGTTTACTGATGTTTTCTGATGTTCATTGATGTTTCCTGCTGTTTACTGATGTTTACTGCTGTTTACTGATGTTTATTCATGTTTACTGACGTTGATTGATGGTTTCTGATGTTTTTGATGTTTACTGTTGTTTCTTGCTGGTTATTCATGTTTATTCATGTTCTCTCATGTTTAACAGTTCTTGCTGACTAGTGACTAGTCATGTTTATATTGATGTTCATGTTGTTTGATGTTCATTGATGTTTATTGATGTTTACTGATGTTTATATTGTTGTTCATTGAAGTTTGTTGATGATTTTTTTCTTGAACGACGAGTTCAAGATTCAAGACATTTCATGGGACATCGTCGAACTCCTTCCGTCAAGATCGAAACTGAAACCACGGTTGGAAAGTCAAAGAACACCATGCCCATCGAGTTTGTGAGACCAGGATATACGCTAACACAGACCGAAATAGTAGTCTCTCATCCTAGGCTAGCACAGGGAATGGTAGTGCAAATTTTAACTAATATCAAATTTTCAATCCAAATTATCTGATTTGTCTGCGGAAGGCATCTTTGACTACCTTCCAGTCCATAAGCTGGCAATGTAGAAGCCTCAACCGTAGATGAATTTCATATCTCTTTCTCTCCCTCTCCCTCTCTCTCTCTCTCTCCCCCTCTCCCCCCATCTCCATCGAACCCAAGTCTGCTTCAGCCAGGCTGAAAGAAAATCCAAGAGTGTGGATGTATCCATTGCCATGTTAGATTGCCCAAGGGTAGATCTTACTCCTCTTTTTGAGTTTCCTCTGACTTCCTCTGCACCTCAGGGCCCCTGTCTATCAGTCTATCACTGTATGCCACTGTTAGGCATTGAGAAAACTCAAACCAGCCCATGCTGTGCCATGGCTGCAACTAGAATTGCACCAAAGATGGCGCATGATAGCGTGGCACGGCGACTTCGGGCAGTTCGGTTGGAACTCCCACGCGGCCAATGCTTCTCCCCTGGGCAGCTCCTGGTGTAAAGGCCATGTAGGGATTGGTCCAGCTGAACCAGTCACCACTTCCTTTCTTTCCCATGTAGACGCAGCCACTAAAGGCCACCCCAACCAACAGAAACTTCAGGAAACCATGGGAGCTCGATGAAGTCTTTGGAGGGCAAGCAAGATCCAATTGAGGAGGCACCCATCCGTCAACACCTTGGGTGTTGAAGGAATCTGGGAACATCCCAGGAATCGTGAATTCTTCAAAAGCATGGCGCCGAAAGAAACAGGATCCTGTAGGCACTGTAGGCATATACAGTAGAAAATATATGAAAACATACATCAAAATATACTACAAATGTACACATGGGATAATACCACTTGGGGATCCTATCAATCAGACTCAAGTACTTGCGAAGAGTGGGATGCTAATCCCTGCAAGGTCATAAAAGGGCGGCCGGGAGGCCCGGTTAAGTAACCATGATCGCATTCATGCGGAGCTTCACCAGCATTTCACCACCATTTCAAGTGATCTTTAAAGAAGCATCATAAACCCAAACCAGTGGAGATACTACATAGGAGATAAGGAGGTTGTAGGATGCGAGTCATAGGTCTGATTTGGATATACTAAGTCAGTCATGGCTACTACCCATATTTTTTACTACACAGTATTATGCTGCAGCTCCCGGAGCTTGAAATGAACGGTCTCATCTTTGACCCCCTGCCCTGCCAAAGGTTCACTGGTTCACTGTCTGTATCTTTTGTGGGATATGAAAATATTGTGAACCCATTGGATCCAATGGAAAATATCTTCAAAAAAAAAATCTGTGAAAGTCAGTGCACGACTGTGTGGCTACAACATGCTACAATCCATCCAAATGTATCCAAATGTGATCATCCCACTCCTTTGCTCCAGAATTTTCACGAGGCAAAAGAGGCTGCCATGGCGGCTGTCAAGGCACACCGATTGCCCGGCACTCGTCTGTACACGTCCACCTTATACGAGTTCGACATGGCACATTCTCGCTCCTCCATCAACCCAAAGCGCGCACTGGGGGGCGGCAACACCGTGGCCACACAGGACTTTTGGTCCAAGGCACGTTCAAAATCCAGTTCGCATTCGAAGTCTTCCATGGTGCAATGGCAGGGTTGGGAAATCACCGGCAACTTGCCTGTGGCGCCAGAAACGAAAGTATGAATCATGTCGAATCATAGGCATGATATATTACTGCAGGCGGAGCGAGATCATCAGATTAAGAACCGAAAAAGGGAAGAATACCACCAAAAACATTCAAAAACTATAACCAAAACTATCGACCAGTCACTCTTTCTTCGGTTGAAGCATTGGTGCAGCTGTTTCCGCCTCACATATGCAACTTGCTGACCCAGCAGGCAGCCACAAGCCGTACCCTTTGGGCAATGGTGCTGTTGTCCATCGGAGGGTGCCCATGTCTCATAGTCCGAGCCAGGTACATCGGGTTCAGAATCCTTATGGCACGCGGGCCAATCAAGGGCATCAAAATCAATGCGATAAATGACACCCTGCTGTCCGCGACTGCCAAAGGCCACGAAATCTGTAGACACAGCTGTTGGCTCGATGAGGATGTTGGTCACATTGAAGGGCTCCGAATCCAAATGCAAGGGTTGCCAAGTCTTCCCTTCATCCAGGGAATAGATCACCTGGTTGGTCTCGGAATTGACCGAGGCCATGACCAACACAGCTCCATGATTGCCAAACTCATAGATGTGGACTCCTTTTCGTACTTCCGACCAGCTCAAGCCACCATCCCTGGAGAGGTAGGTGTTGGATTCCTCCGCCTTGTAGCTAAGCCGTTGCCCCACATTCCCCGCAGCCATGATGATGCCCACGGCCTTGTCATAGGAATAGAAGGGCACGAAATGTTCCTGGAAAGTCATGTCGTGCAAATGAAGGGAGCAGCCGTTGCCACAGCTGATAGGCTGCCCCTCCGAGTCGCTGCTGGGGGCTTTCAGGGTGGACCACGCGCCTCCGGCGTTGAAGGAAATCAAGCTGTGCACCGACACCGACGTGTTCCGCAGCGCCAGACGACGGGAGGAAATCTCTGCAGTGGGGGAGGGGCGTGCCTTTAAGTAGCCTGGGTGAACCAGCCATCCCTGCGACCAAAACCCAAGCAAAATTGGAAGCATTTGACAGTTCGCATCATCATCCGATATTTAGTCTGCATTTTAAGGATGGAAAGCATAGTTCGAACATTAAAGCCTGATTTGAAAGTATATCCGGTTAATTTACTATGAAAACATGATAAAACCTGATAGGATAATGGGCCAGGCACGGATGGATTGTTCCGCTTGAGACATGGTGGAACCCTCTCCCAGCTGATAGTCTCCATGTTCCAGCCAGCCACTTTTGGCGAAAGAGGAGGGAAGCGCCTCAATTCCTGTAGCGTTCTTGGCGGCCCAAACATTTGCGAAGTAGATGCCTGGTCGTAGGTCAAACAAACTCAAACTCTCATCTTATATTTCACTCACTTTGGCTGGCCATGCTTTGATACTTGAATCACCATAATCATCCCTTTTTTCTAGTCATGTTCACATGTGTTGGCCCATCCTCACCTTTCAAATTTGAGACCTTTTCAAAAGCAGCCCTCCCATTCACGCCGATGTTGTGCTGCAGGGAGAGGACGTAGCGCGTCCCAGTGTCATCCGAAACGTAGACATTGCCCAAACCCTCACCATGATTCACATGAAGTAGGACAAAACCCTCCGATGCATCCAGGACGGCGTAGGATTTCTCCGCCAAATTTGTTGGAATGAAGGCCTTTTCGAATGGCTGATCTCTGTTGGCTGTGCTGTGTTTCCGAACCATCAGTTGGACATTCTGGCTCTGAGGATCCAGGCACTGTGCCACCAGGGTGAACTGCTCTGAAACTACAAATTTGTTCCCACGAGGCACGTGGGTGGTGACATGCTTTCCAAAGTCATCTGTGGAGACAAAATCCACGCTCTCCATCCACCTACTCAACATGGGCTGCCTGGTGTTCTTGTCACGGAAGTGTGTGAAATAGATCCGATCTGTAAAATCGCCACGGCCCCAGCTGAACTGCACCACATGCCTTGAGACCTGCTGGGGACATAAGACTTGGCAATTGGGATAGGACTCACTTCCAGATTCCAAACATTTCCAAACCCATCCAGAAAAAATGACTGCGCGGTGGTCCAGAAATTGGCTTATGATCCATCTTAAAGTGGCAAGTTTGCATGTCACGAAGGGTTCTTGTACTTTCAATTTGTGACTGTTTAAAGATCATCAAAAATATAAAGATCAATGATAAAGAAAAACACATTTAGTATTAGTGGAAAACTAGTTCTGGAGATTCTGGAGGTTCTATAGATATGTATAGATCATCAAACACTTGCTGATTCACCACCCAGAAACGCTTTCTAGGGCCGTTCTCCCTAAATCTCTGGTCACCAGCAACTGATGAGTGCAAGGACTGCCAGGCCGCGCATCGCGGCAATCCTCTGTCCAAGCAGAGAGGAGGGCCCATTCCGGCCTGTGACCACCCATCCCAAGGCAGATCTAAGAGTCATGGGAAACCCGGGAAGCCCTATGGTTTCCGGTGAAGGTTTTCTCTTTTTGTCCATTCATTGAGATAGATCATTGATATTTATTGATCGAGCATGGGGGATTCAATACTGTCCGTGGGGAAAAATCCAGAGACCAGTTATTGGTATATTCTTTGATTAATGTCAATCCTGGATTAATAAACCCCAAACGGCTGTTTAATTGGGGGGGTACCGTTGAAGAATTGATGACTATTGGAGGAGTACCCTCCTAACTAATAAACCACGGTTTAGTCTCATCCGGGGTTGACATTATCATCTACCTCTTGGTTGTTGAATGTGGGGAAGCATCTATCAACCAACCAGTGGGAATTTGGGACGTCTGGGGATCATGACTTCGCTTCCAAGGCCTTTGAAGGATGAAAGCGACATCACTTGCGGACGCCAATTATGATGATGGGCGCGAAAAAACTGAGGGCCGATTGGAGTTGGGGGCGGTTTCATGGAGGGACCTGGAGGAATTAAGGAGTTCAGGAACCTCAGGAAACCACTTAGAAATACCCTCTGGTAATTTAACATAGCTATTGAAAATAGCCATTTATAGTGGATTTACCCATTAAAAATTGTGATTTTCAATAGCTACGTTAAATTACCAGAGGGTATATCAAAATATCATCCTCAGAGATCCTCAGAGATCATAAGAACTCTGCAGTTTTTTTTTAGTCCCAAATCTCAAGGCACCACAATGTCAACCGACCAATCGGCCTGTTGGGGTGAAACATGAAGGACAAACGGATCGCATTGGGGTGGTGGATTTCATGCCACGAAAGTCCCGCGTCATCCGTTGCGAAGGTCTCCAAGCGATTCCCCACGGCCAGCGCGATGAACGAACTATTTGGACTCATCAGGAGCCTGACCACGTGAACCTGACAGCACCAGCTGGTGCCCTCGGAAATCATTGGGGGAGCCAAGAGTTGGAGCAAACACATTAATGCAGGAATCGCAAGCCGGGTTGTAAGTTTACCTGTAACCCCATCAAACAAAAAATGTACCCATCATAAATTTAATTGTTGGCCTAGAATCATCTATAACCCCACAGAAACGTATCATAAATCACTTAGAAACCAATCAGATCAATATGTCTCTCCATCGCTATCAGGTCAACCTTGTTTTAGGAACGCGCATAAAGGGCCTGTCGCTGGCCACTGTGCAATTTGGTTTCCTCAAAGGTTCCCGCTTGGTCGCTGCTCCTGTGCAACGTTCCCCTCTCCGTGTACAACATGACGATCTCGCGGTCCTGGAAAATCGCCAGGGAAATCGGACATACCCCCTGGTAAACATACAAAAAACTATTGAAAATTGTGATTTATAGTGGATTTACCCATTAAATGGTGATTTTCCATACTTATGTTAGTGTACCAAGGGGTAATGAACATAATGAGCATGATGAAAATAATGAACATAGTGAACATATTAATCCCATACCCCTACTACTAACCCCCCCCCA